CCTTGAAGGGCCCGTCCCAGGCAGCGTGCAGCTTGTTCTTCCTCACGGGGATGAGAAGCATCACCTGGTCCCCGGTAGCATAGGAGCGGGCACGTGCTGAGCAGTTGTACCAGACCTTCTGCTTCCCTTGGACCCTGCTAGGTTTCCCCTGGCCAAGCCCATGAGCTCAGCGAGCTTTTCCTGGAAAGTCAGTATGTATTCCACCACCGATTCTCCATCAGGAGAGGCCTTCCCCTCCCATTCGTCCCTCACCAAGCCATGGGGTCCCCTCACTCTCCTCCCGTACAGCAACTTGAATGGGGAAAACCCTGTGGATTCCTGGGGCACTTCCCTGTATGAGAACAGCAGGTGGGGTAAATACTTGTCCCAGTCCGGCGGGTGCTGGTTCATAAAGGTCTTCAGCATCATCTTTAGAGTCCCATTGAACCTCTCCACCAGCTCGTTGGACTGAGGGGGATACGCTGAGGTCCAAGTGTGCTGGACACCACAATGGAGCAAGGTTAACATGAAGTTGAACCGCTGGTCTGTAAGGATCTGCTTGGGGAACTCCACTCTGCTGAAGATGGTCAGCAGCGCGTCTGCCAGTGTCTGCCTCGAGAGAGGCCAGAGCCACTGCCTCAGGGTAGCGAGTAGCTAAATCTACCCCCACCAGAATGTATTTCTTCCCTGTCCCAGGTAGGCCTCACTATGTCCACGGCCACCTGCTGAAAAGGCTCCTCTATGACAGGCAGGGGCCTGAAGGCTGCTTTACCCTTATCCTGGACCTTCCCCACCCGCTGGTAGGAGTCACAGGACCTGGAGTACTGTTGGACGGAGTCAAAGACCCCAGGCCAGTAAAAGTTCTGCCTGATGTGCTGGATTCCCTAGTGACTTGAGAGCGGGACATTGCGGGCCAGGTACAGTAGCCTGCGGCGGTACTTCTGGGGGACTACCAGCTGTCTCCTGATCCCCCATGGGTCCACTTCCCCTGGGGGAGCCCATTCCCGGTACAGGAATCCCTTCTCCCACAGGAATCTTTCCCGGCAGCCTTCCCCCAGGGGCTTCGCGGCACGGGGGCCAGCAAGTTCCCTCAGCTTCTCTAAAGAGGGATCCTTCTGCAGCTCGGCCTGGAATTCAGCAGCTGGAGAGGGGAGTGAAACCAGTTGCCTCTTGCTGCCTGCGGTCCCAGCCCTCCAGACTGGATCACTGGGACTCGGTCTCTTTTGGTGGAGAGCCGAGAGCCACCATCTTGAGCTTGGCCACCCTCTGACCAGGCATCTCTGTCACCCTTTTAGCTGCTTCCTCCTGTCCTGGGACCTCTTCACCTCTGGACAAGGCAGCCCTGGTTGGCAGCTGACCCGCCCTGGCTGCAGTGCCCCACACTCAGCTGGGGTCTCCGATCCCCCTGGGCTCAGCTTTGCCTCTGCTGTCCCAGTGGGGGTGGGCAGCAAGCCCGCTGCTTTGCTCACAGCATCAGAGCCAGCATGAGCCACCTGCCCCGTGTGCAGGGGGGTGAGAAGTATCTCTCTGCCCCACTCAGCTCCAGGGCTCTGGTTACAGACAGGCAGGTATCCTGAGCCTAGCAGCTCCTCCTCCCTGCCAGCCAGATCATTTGCATATTCACTGACCACTTCAGTCTCCGACGATTGTTTCCCTGGATTCAAATTTGAATCCTTGGCCATTACAGGAGCAGGGCCTGGATCCTGTCCCAAAGAGACACAGTCATCCCCCAACAGGACGTCACAGCCGATATCCTGGAGAACCCCAACTACCAGCCAGCCCGACCCCTCCTGTGTCTGCACAGGGATCCAGGCCATAGGCAGGGCGAGAGGCTTCATCCCTGGGACCTTCACCCAGGTCACACAGCCCCTCAGCATCTGCGGCTGCACCACCCGGGGCCTGACAACAGTTCTCTCTGTCCCAGGGTCTCGCCACCTCAGGAATGTCTCCCCATTGACCACCTCCTTCCGCTCCCACTGGGGGTCTGAGGGGCCTGAGCCCAGGAGAGTCCGCGCAGACATATATGCTGGGGCCAGGAGTGAGAGCCAGTCTGCCCCCCACCCATCTGGCTAAACAGCTATATGGCCTTGGGACCCAGGAAGGGGCTGGACACCAGAGCCTTTCCGCAGGGCCAACCTGGTTCTAATTGCCAGCCTTCCCAAAGGCCGCGAGACGGGCATCTATATCTCCCCCCTCCTTAACCTGGGGCAGCAATTTAGTGTCGAGGTTCCCTGCAGAATTGGCACCTTGGGGTCCATCCCCACTCACCCCGGATGAGTCCTTCTGCCTCTCAGCTCAGCCATCACTAGTTCCTGCTGCCTGTGTCTCTTGCTGTTCTGCTTCATGCCTTCCCTGCCTCTCATGGTCCTCTGACTCCTTCAATCTCAGCTCCAATTCCATCCGTCTCAGGTCCACCGATGGGGAACCCGGTGAAGACCCCCTGCTGGTCGGGGACATGGGTCTCTGGGACACCCAGCTGCTCCCAGCCTCCCTCATGGCCCCAGCTGGGTCAGGAACCGATGTGGGCCCTGGTGTTGCCTGGCTACTCCCAGCCTCTCTTACGGCCCCAGCTGGGTCAGGACCTGGCTCCTTAGAGCGATCCTCCTCTTCCAACTGAGCAATCAGCTGCACCTTGGTGAGCTTTCCAAGGTCCTTATTTAGGAGATGCTTATAGGCCATCTCCACGCTGTTCCCAAGTTGTCACAGACTCACAGGCCTGTGCTCTCTCAGCTCCCCATGATCCCTGGGAGGAACCCCTTCAGTGCAACAGCCCTTCTCGGGGGTCCACTCTCTCTCGGGGTTAAACTGTAGGCTCCTCCACCTCCTGGAACCGCACCTCTCTGAGCCTTCAGCACGCCTGTCTCTCGGTAATCCCCCTTAGTTTTACTGCTCCCCAGTCACTTACTGCAGGATGCTCAGTTCATCCCACTTTTGCCACCAGTTGTTACGGCGTCACAGGACCAATGCTCTGGAACTGCTCCATATGAAGTCAGTTAGGACTCTGGTTACTTGAGGGGATGGAGAATTTTGCCCTGGCGTATATTCATATCTGTGTTTTTAGCCAGACCTGGGAGGATCTTGTGTCCCAGGTTAAACAAATGCTGGACCGGCTCCAGGATGCAGGACTGACTATAAAAGCTGGGAAGTGCAAGGTGGGGATGGCAGAGGTGTCATACCTGAGTGACTGGCCCTCTCCCCAGTCTAAGAAACAGGTCCAGACCTTTATTGGGATGGCAGGGCACTACCGGAGGTTCGTGCCCCACTTTCGCTCCATAGCTGCCCCCATCACTGAGCTATGTAAGAAAGATAAGCCAGGCGAGCAGTGCCAGAGGGCTCGCTGTGCTCTGAAGGAGGCGCTGGTCAGGGATCCAGCGCTGGTAAACCCAGACTTTGACAAGCCCTTCATGGTGTTCACTGACGCCTCAGACTCAGGGCTGGGCGCGGTGCTAATGCAGGTTAATGAGAAGGAGGAGAGTCATCCCATCGTGTACCTGAGCAAGAAGCTGCTTCCCCGGGAGCAGAACTATGCGGCCATAGAGAAGCAATGCCTGGCCATGGGACCTTAAAAAGCTGCAGCCGTATCTATTTGGGCGGCGCTTCATTGTGTGCACTGACCACTCTCCCCTGACGTGGCTACACCTGATGAAAGGGGCCAATGCCAAGCTCCTGAGGTGGAGTCTCCAGCTTCAGGATTATGACATGGAGGTGGTCCATGTGAAGGGGAGTGCCAACGTTATAGCAGATGCTTTGTCCCGGAGAGGGGGGCCGGAACTTCCCCAGGCCACTGGCTTAAGTGGCCCCGCTCAGTTCAGTCTCAGAGAGGGGAGACAAAGAGATGTGACACAATGGGGTTTATTCACCTCGTTATGTTGCATATAAGTGTTACTGTCCTATACTAATACCGTGTGTGCCTCAGTTTCCCTGTGTGTTGCACCAATGCCTAGGTGTTGGGAATTGGGTGTGTGACTTTTGCTGTGGCCCTCAGGGCAAGGGGCACGTACCAAGTGGGGTCCATAGCGGAGGGGGGCAATGGGGGATGTAGCATATGGGGTCAATAGCAGGGGGGGAAAGGGGGGCCTGGACCAAGGTGGGGCCCGAGGGGGGGGAGGGCGGGGACATACCAAGTGGGGTCCATGGCGGAGGGAGGCAGTGGGGGCATGTACCAAGTGGGGGCCATAGTGGGAGGAGGGCAATCGGGAACGTATCAGATGGGGTCAATAATGAGGGGGAAGTGGTGGATCTTCTGTGCCTAGCTGAGGAGGCTGCTAGGAGGCAGAAGTTGATGGGCAGAGGCTCATTGGAAGGATTCTAGTGGGGCGGGGGCACATAGAGGCCAGAATTTTAGCATCTGGTACTTCACAGCCCCACATGGCCCCAAACCCAGCGAGAAACGCCGCCGGCTGGGGGGCAAGGGAGGGTCCAACGCACACGATGGATACCAGATCCCGGTGGTTGGGCGCGTGACATTCCCCTCCTGGCCCAACCGAGAGCCCAACCTGTTGGAAAACGAAAGGCCAAGACCCAGTGCGCCCAGGCGGGCGATGCAAAGGGCCTGGAGCATAGCCCTGCAGGGCATTTCACCCTGAAAGCCCTCCCACTTGTGGGGGTCAAACAGGGGCCGGGTCCCCGTTTTAAGCAACGTTTTGAAGGTGGCCCTCTGCCTGTGGGGATGGGGCCGGATCGGAACCGGCACCTCCTAGAGGGAAAAGGCCCCAGGTCCCATTCCCCACCCCATGAGCCAGCCAGGCAGCCAGCCCCCCTGCCTAGGGCTGGATCAGAGCCGGCACCCCCTAGATGGTAAAGGTCTCAGGTCCCATTCCCCACACCCCTGAGCCAACCAGCCCCCCTCCCTAGGGCTGGATCAGAGCCGGCGCCCCGTAGAGGGAAAAGGCCCCATGTCCCATTCCCCGCCCCCTGAGCCAGTCAGTCCCTGCCTGGGGCCAGAGACTATAAACGCTGCCCTATTCAAGGGGGCTTTGCAGAGCAGCCAGGGCAGGAGAGGTGAGTTCCAGATGATTTATTGCGTCTCGGTCGCTCCTGAACCCGGCTCCAGGCTGGGGTCAGTAATTACCCCCTTTGCCCCACCTGGCCCCAGTCCCAGCCCCCGGGGCCATCACTTCCCCCCGATGGTCTCCTGGATCCAGGCTAGGTATTTGCAGATGCTGGTGCAGACCCCAGGCTTGTTGGGCTGGGCGCAGGGGTGATCTCCCCAGGAAACCAGGCCCTGCAGCTTCCCGTTACAGACCAGGGGCCCGCCGGAGTCACCCTGCGGAGATGTCACAGAAAAGTCACAGGTCAGCCACAGTATGCGGGGCCACAGAGACAGCCAGGCCACACCACGGAGACCCAGCCAGGCCAAGCAGAGCCACGGAGACACAGCCACACCACGCTATGAAGATGTAGCCATGCCACGCCATGTAGAGCCACAGAGACGCAGCCACGCCATGGAGAGCCAGGCGATGCAGCCAAAGCGTGCCACGCGGCACTGTGGAAAGGCAGCCACGCCCCACGGGGCCACGGAGCAGCAGCTGCCCCACGCAGAGCCACGGAGATGCAGCCACACCATGCTATGGAGACAGCCCCACCATGCCATGCAGAGCCACAGAGACACAGCCACATGGAGCCACGGCACACCATGGAGCCACGGTACACCATGGAGCCACTGCCATGCCAGTGTCCCCAAACCTCGTTCTCCATCTGCCCATGGGATGGCCCCAGGAGAAGCCCCCCTCACCTGGCAGGAGTCTTTGCCCCCCTCCAGCACCCCAGCGCAGAGCATGTTCTCAGTCACTTTCTCGGGGTACGCATCCTCGCAGATGGTATTGGAGAGAATATCGACGTCCAAGCACTGGGGAACATCAGGGTACGTCTCTGGAAGGGAAGGGGTAACAGTTTCCCACGAGGGCTGGCCAAGGCCGTGGGGGAGGGAGGGTAGCATGCCCCTCAATCCCGACCCACAGCCCCCTGCTATCCCAGCCCTGCCACCCCCCAGCTCTGCTGGTGCCCCTCACTCCCAACCCGCAACCCCTGCTAGCCCAGTCCTGGGCTCCCCCCACCCAGCTCTGCCAGTGCCCCTCACTCCTGACCCACAGCCCCTGCTATCCCACAGCAGGACTGGGGTCTGCTACCAGCGGGGCTGGTGGTGGTGCCCCATCCCATCACGGTGCAGTGGGTCCCTTCTGGGGGGCAGCTGTCAGTCAGTGCCAGGGGCTGCACGTAGTCAGTGTAGACGGCCGGGGGTGACAGGCGGAGCAGCATGATGTCATTCTCGTAGTCCCGGCTGCCGGCGCTGGGGGCGCGGAATCCGGGGTGGGAGATGATTTCCTGGGCGGCGGAGAACTGCTCGTTCCCCGAGCTAGTTCCACGGCTGTGCTCCCCTAGGCGCACCTGGATGTGACTAAGGACAGAGGACAGAGAGTCCCGGGCTGCCGGCCAGGCCCAGCCCAAGCACCTCTCAGGCCCCAGAGTCCTCCCCAGCCCCCCAGCCTTCCAACCCCCAGGCTCCCCAGCCCCCCAACACCCAGCCCCTGCAAACCCCAGGCCCCGCAGCCCCCACAACCCCCAAACCCCAGAATCCTCCCCAGCCCCCACAACACCCAGCCCCCGCAGTCCCCAGAGTCCTCCCCAGCCCCTGCAA